CCAGGGCTGCGCTTCGCTGCCGAGCTCCCGCGGGGTTCCTCCGAGTTCCCCAAATCTCTTAGGCTTCCTCGGTGAAAGCTGCTAAGCTAAGCCTGTAACTCGGGGGGCAGGAAGGAAACGGGTGCTGCGGGGCAGCGCCAGCTCTGCTGCGTGCTGTCTTTGCGTACATCCTACTGATTGCTGTGCTGCAGCTTGCCCAGAGATGGAAAGAGCTCGTAGTTTGGAGCAGGGCTTTGCAGTACTCTCCCTGTCTTGTTGAAGCGCCTGTGGTCTTGCTGGAAGGCCTCCAAGTTGAGAATTTTTAGTCTGGAAGTCATTTTGGGGCTGGGGGGTGGCACTGACAGGGGCTGCACAGACAATCTCAACAGGAATAGTCCAACACCCCCATGGTACGTGGGTCAGTGGGTGCTGAGGTTTAGTGAGTTAACGGGAAATGCTTGCTTGCAGTTTAGTGCAAGTGTAAGCTAACGCGTTTCTGGACTTTGACCCACAAGCTCAGAGTTGGGTTGGTCTCGCATCTGGCTGAGAGTTAGCTGCTCCCTGCAGCTCTTAACGACAGCCTCTCATTTTTTATTTTCTCTTCCAACAAAACATAATGCAATTTTGCAGCCTTAACTGTGCCCATGACGAGTAATACAATCAAAAGGACAGTGGTCACTGTCTTCCCCTTGTGGCAGTAACTGCTTTGTGTCTGGCTGCTTTGCCTGAGGAAGGGAAACCGTCAGCAGCTGTGCTGCCAGGTGGGCTGGGTGCTGCAGGAGGGGATCTTTTGGAAAACAGCCGCAACTGATTGTCAGGTGGGAGAATTCTGCTTAACAGTTAGATCAGATTAGAAAAGATTAAGCCCCTTGCTGCAAAAAAACGGAAACTGAACTCTGAAGCTGTAAATGTAACTAGGACTGTCTTTAGGGAAGAGAAACCAAATGCTTCTGCTTTTCCTGCTCTTGTAAAAGCAAAAGATGTTTAATTTTTCTGGTGAGTATTTAAAACAAGTGTACTTACGGTCAGTGCCCTGTTTTCTTCCGAGACCGTTGTAAGCCAGCGGTGGCAATTGACATTTTAAATACTGATTCTTTCCAAGTCTTGATGTGCTCTCCCAGTGAGTCACGGAAACAGACTACCCTTCTTCATCCCTCTCCTCCTGATTTCTGGATGATAATCTCTATAAAAGTTGCTAAACAATTTTAGACAAATCCAGTTTTTAGTTACATCATTGTACTCTGTGGAATAATTATGAAATAGAGACTGTTGCACTTGTGTTACTGAACACAAGAACCTCTTCCAGTGAATGGGACACTGCCTTTAAGACCGAATGTCTTTGGCTGCCTTTCATCTTTGTAACATTCTTAATCAGCTGGTAAGATCTCCTTGAAGTGTGCAGGGTTCCTCGCACCTCTGAGAATACCAAGGTTTTTTGGAAGCAGTTCTCACTTACCTGAACTCAGCACTGCCCAATCGGTTCTGCTGGTACAGCTTCTTCTGAAGCTGTGCAGGGAACCAGCAAAATGTGGATATTTTTTCCTGATCCTGTTCATTCTGTGGCTGGGCAGCTGGGGAGGAAGGGTATTGCTTCATCAGACTTTGCTAACAGTACTCTGAAATCCAGGCAGGTGCTGGAGGTAGCAGGAGGAATTTGCTGTGTGGTTTTTTTTTTGCTATCAACCAAGGTAGCTGTATGCTCCTTGGTTAGGTGCTGCTTGTGAGGAGGCACAGAAAGTAGCAGAATGCATCTGACAGCTAGGAGCACCTTCCCTGTGCTTGGAGAACTCTGACGTCCCCCATAGAAGGAGCGGGCAGATGCAGCAGGCAATGGAAATGGAGGTTCTTTACTTGCTGTCTTAGAGTTACTGTGACTGTGCTTAATGAAAATGTCCAGATTTCAGACACAGGCAATGACTTTGGTTTCACCTGACAATCTTGTTATGTGTCTGCATTCCAAACGAATATGATCACAGTTGCACAGCCTAACAATGTGAGAGGAATGCTTTGGTTCCAGTGCTGTTATGGCTACCCAAAGAGAAGCATCTCTGCTTCAGACATGTATAAAACGTACAGTTGCCAAAACAGTTGCTTACTCTCATAGGATATGTTTCCCTTGCATTTAAAAAGGTGAATTCATGTTTGGAGTCGGATTTTTGAGGGTAAGGTGAGTGGGAAATTAATACAGAGGTAAAGTTGCCCAGCAGTATCTTCTGGAAAAAAAACTTCTGAAGAACACCCCCCCCCCAACACCTGAAAGTCAAAAAAACCTGAAGAGTTAAGATACACATCATTCCTTCTACCTCGTTCTCTACTTTGTCCCAAGCAACCTTAATGATGTTCTTTCACACTGCTGTTTGAGTTCTCTGTTTTCTGAACCTTCTTCAATAGATTTTACTCCTACCTATGCTGCACTTAATCACTTGTCCCTGTAAGAGCATTGCACATGTTCTTCAGAGCAGCCTTTCCTGTTGCTACAGTAGTCTCAATGCAACTATGTTCACTTACCGTGTTTATCTCCAGCTCGTGTTTATCTCTGGCTTTACTGACAACTGTTCTTGAGACAAGAAGGTCCGAGAGCCCTGTTTGTAGCACAGCAGTGATAGATAGCAGAGAGGGTCTCTCCAGTGTGTGTGTAGGCTTCCCAAGGAACAGGCATGGGAGCCTGGGAGAGGAACTCATCCTTCCATGTCGCCAGTGGGGCACTGGGCTCCGCGCTTGCCTCATGTCCCAGGTTCCTGCCAAGCTGTTCAGACTCATTCCCCAGTGCTGTGATGCCTCTATGGGGAAGTGCAGTTAGTGTGCTGAGAGGTGGGACGTATCAACTTGTCTCAGCTCCCTGGGGAGGTGCTTCTCTTATTATTTCTGATCATCCAGGCATCTGATTTTTGCCAAATCCCATTTTCTGGACTTAGAAGCAGTGCCACAGAGCTATTCTGGTAACACCATATTAAAGTTCTTGTTTCCATCTTTGTGTTTACAAAGGAAATGTAAAGACAGCTGAAGCAGAGTGCCGGATGTGTCTCTTAATTCATTTAAAAACAATGCCACAAACAAATCTGTACGTCAGAATCTCTGAAAGTGTCAAAATAGTTTGTTTTCAGGAATTGCATTCAAAGGCATCTTGTCTCTAAGTGCTCACAGACCGTTCCTGCAGGGTATGTTATTCACATGCTCTCTGAGGAGGGACACAGATGGCGAAGCGGAGCTCTTGGCTGTTTGCAGTGACAGCAGTGAGCGGAGTTTGGGTTGTGTTGATCAGGCACGTGCTTCTCTTGCCAGCACACAATCTCACGCACTCCTCTGTAAAGTATATTGTGTTAGCGTTTTCCTGTGTTTGCACTTAGCACCCTTGTGTCCACGACATTTGAAGAAGATTAGCTCAGGTTCTTGTTCTTTAAATTCTGGTAGATGTCAAAGCTCTTTGGAGCTGGGCAACCAAAATAGTTACAAATGTGTTATATGAAAAATACTAAGCCTCTAACTACAAATTCTGAAAACTTAGTCCTTTTTTTAAAAAAAAAAAAAGTAGGATTAGGTGTTCTTGGTCACTGTCTCCCTGCTTCCACCAGCACTACCTTGTATAATCTTTTCCATAAACACATCAATTTTCATGTTAAGAATAGATTCTTTTTTTTAATCCTTCACAGAATGGCAGCTGCAGGTAGGTTGCTCCATGCTCACTGATTCTGAAGCTTAGTAACTTTCTTTTAACTTCTAGCATAAAGGTATTAATTTGTTCTTTGGCCAGCATTGTCCTTCGCCTTTGAGTTCTTCTTCCCCTCCGTTGTTCTCTCCTTCACCCTAATGTATATGTTGTTGTACCCTCACTTCATCTTCATCTGCTCTGCCAGTCAATCTGTGGTGGTTTCTTTTGCAACATAGACTGTCCCCTGGCCATCCTAATCATCTTGCTGTGCCTTTTCAGGTGTGGGTAGGTCCCTAGAATCAGATGCCTTACCTCAGCTGAGATATTGTGCTCTGCATGGTAATGCCGGTACTTCTCCATCCCACTGGAGAGTTTCCGGTGATCTTATTTGTCCCTTTTTTCAGAATTACCATATTGATAACATACAGGTATCCAGAGATCAACCAGTTCGTCTAGGCTCTTCTGCTAAGCTCTGCTGCTGGAAAGGGCTAACCGGAAGTTCTTGTTGATAATCTCTAAGAGCATGACCAGGCAGGTCTATATTTCCAGCCTTCATCTAGTTTCTATTATGTCAGTCTGGATGCTTCTCCAATTCCTTGTTGAAACTCTGGTCTTCCTGCATTGATGGATTCTTCTGAAGGTCTGTATAGTTCAGAAGTCAGTTTGGATTCCTATCAAATGTAGACTGGTACTTGGACAAGTTACAGCAATTTTAACTTGTTTCCAAAGTGTCTCCAATGTGGGACACGTTTCTGTTGTGCTTTAACAAGAAAACAAAAAAAAATCTAGTTATACAATTGAAGCTGACATTAGTCTAACTACCCTGCTAAACCCACTAGCTGACTTACAGATAATTGTCTAATTACCCAGCAATGCACATGCTCAAGTGACCAGAACTAAGGTTCATTGCAAGCTTTGATTCTCTATTTTATTTATTTTTGCTTGCAAAAATATCACTCTGATAGTGAAATCACTCTGAGTGCTGAGCTTCTTTTTGATAGAAAGGTAGTGGGGTGGAAAGCAGAACATGTATTTTTGTAGACACTGGTGTACTCTGGTAGTCTAATCCAAGTTAGTCTGTGGCAGACCATTCTGATGGTACTTGTATTGCCAGCACATTGCTGTTCCTGAAGATGCTCGCTGTCATGTACGGTGCAGCTGGTCTTTCAAAATAAAGAAAAGGAGACAGAAAAGCATCCATACCTGTTGTATAGCAGCAGAAGCAGTTCTTAAAGAAAATGTTGCTTGCTAACTTCAGAGCTGGCTTGTAGGGCAAAGGGATGGGGATTACAGCCCAGGGTGTCTGTAGCAGCTTTGCTGAAGGACGTGTGAGAAGATGCTCTGTGTACTGAACTGAATCTCTGTCCACTAGGTTTGAGAGCACTGTGCAGGTTGGCAAACTGCAGGACCTTATCAACCGAAGTAAGATGGCAAGGTGTAGAGGACGATTTGTTTGCCCAGTCATTCTGTACAAGGGAAAGGTAAAACTTCATGTGTTACATGTCTTAACTTAGAAAATGAGCTTTCTCCCTGCTGTTTGAACTGCACAGCCGTGTCTTCAGTCGTTACCTTTCCAAATGCTGTAAAAAATCTGTTCTTGGGTACAAGAAGGCAGCCTGTAGTGGTAGGTAGCATTTGCTGTCTAGGCTGCGTAAATCATCTGTGGGGGCTTTGGGCTATTTTACCTCACCATGTCATGAGAATTGCACCAAAGAGCAAACATTTTCTCCGTATGTACGTCCCTTCTGAAGGACCAAAGATGGTCTTTGAGAGGCAAAAGACAACTATTGCCACTTTCTGCTGCTTACTCTTCCCAGCAGTGAGCTCCCTTTGAATAACTTTTCTCTCTAAAGAGAAGTTCCCTTTGTCTGTTCCCTGGGGAGGCAAGGTTGCATAAATGGCCTTAGGAATGTGTGGGCTTGTCTGCAAGGGGATCTGTAAGAAAGTGAAATTAGATTAATTTTTAGGCGGATTACTTGTGTTGAAGCCTTGTAGGAGTAGTCTCATTTAGAATTTAAGTAGCTTAATTCAGTTTTCTTAGTTCAGTTTAGAAACACTGTATGAATGGCAAAATCATACCTGTGGCAATTTTAATCTAGCTTGACTGAAGCCATCATGGGCTGAACCTGCTGACCTTTTTCTGCAGGAGTGAACTGCCTGGAGTTGTACTGGGACCATGCATAATCTTATCCACAGGAATGTGAAAATAAGGCTCAAGCAGGGTATTAACAGAGCATGGATGTTGCTAACTTGGCTGTATTAGTTGACTGTATTAGTGAATTGGAGAACTGGAGATGAAAAAGTGATTTAAAAACTAGGTACAGACAAAGGCACTTGTGAGTTTGATGTGTTTGGAGAACTCTATCTGGACCAGGGTTGCAGGGGAGACTGCTGAGAGGTGGTAGTTGTAGGTAGCAACCGTTCCTGTGAAAACATGACAGCAAACAGGCCAGAGACTTATAAGGGGAAGAATCCTGGGGCATGCATGGTTAATAACAAAATATTCCTCCAGCATATTTGCAGATCAGCAACGCTGGCCGGCTGGGGAGAGCTCTATGGGCGCACTGGCTACAACTATATCTTCTCAGGTGAGTGAAGAGCCATTTGTCACTGTCTGCCTGGTAAGGCTGGTCAGTGTTGGGACAGTGACCTACACACGAGAGCAAGCTCTTCCTGAGAGCTGATGCAGAGCTCTAGCATGGACCTGCTTGTACCCAGGCCTGGCATGTTAGAGCAAAGACTGAAATCTTATGTCCATTTCCAAGCACCATACTACAGGACAGCGTCATAGTTTATGAGAAGGAGTGACAAAAGAACTTGAGGCTGAAGAATGAGTTATGGGAAGTGTGTAGGCAAGTAAAGCAACCCAAAAGATTCAGGGTACTGATTCCCAAACATAGGGTGTGGGAGTAATGGAAGGAAGAGGATAAGAACTTGCTGTTGCTTAGCTAATCATTGGGAATCAAATCCTGCTAATGGTGAGACATACTGGACTCTAGGGAGAGCTCTTCAGGGGATTATCAGGTGTCTGTAGTGTGGGAGCTGAAGCCTGGCTTAACAAAGCATATTGGGGTGTCCTTCTGGCTGTCAGTTTGACCTGCCTAGGTCCTTTGCAATGACAAGGGAAGAGTTGGCTATGAGAAAATGGACTTTTCAGGAAGAGGAAATGTGGGGTACCATTGAGAGCACTTATGTGTAGAGGGAGGGTACCAAACCATGGCTGCCTTGGGTGCATGCATATCTTGTCAGATTGAGGATTGAATTGGTTTACACAAGCTTCAGTTCTTAACACCTTCCTTGCAGGTGGTTCTGATGATGCTTGGGCAGATGCAGAAGACGTTTCAGAGGAAGATTCTGTACTGAGGTTTGTATGCATCACTGGGATGGGGAAAAGGGAGTTTGGACCAAAGCTGACTGGCTCTGCCACTTAATTCTGCTATTTCCTAGGCTGGACTTAGGGTACAGGCTTGAGACCATCATGAAGCTTGGAATCTTACTTTCCTTGCTTTTGAGAAAGTTTTGAATGCTTATGGCTGGCTAAACCCAGTGTAAACAAAGCCTGCTAATCTCTTTCCAGAGGGAAGTGCTGGAGACAGGAATATATACAGCCATTTTAAAAGGTGTTTGAATTACATGGCCATGTTTACTTCATCAAAAACTACATCTCCAGGCTGGAGAAATTGTTCTATATCTTACATGCTTTTTGCAGAACAGAGTGAGACATGGGAAGGGACCCCAAGCACGAAGTTTGCAGTATCGGTTCATTGCAGAGTTTGACTCCGACCTGTGGAGACAAGGCTCGTGCTATGTGCCTTGTGGCTAGAAGCAGTTCAGGGGAGAGCTGTGGCAGTGTTGTGCAAAGAATCAGACTCAATGTGGTCAGTTTTCCATGCTCATTTTGCTTTGCCTTGTTCTGTCTTGCAGAAATGCAGACTCTCAGCTGTTTGACAAAGTCAGAGGGCATGACATCAAGCTGCTTCGATACCTGTCTGTCCGATATATCTGTGACCTGATGGTGGAAAACAAGAAGGTGAAGTTCGGCTTGAAGTGAGTCTAGGTTCATTTGTTTTTCTGCAGGCTTTGGATTGCAGCTAGTGTAGCCCTTACATGTGAATTGCTATTGGGCATGTACTCAGCATCATGGGAGCAGTCCCTGGACAAGTACTACAGCAGGATCAGTTAGCTGATGCTGTCAAGAGAATCCCAAGGTTTTAGGCCAGAGAAAACTGTATCAATGGGCAAGACAGCTGCTTTCATCTGTCTTCTGCAGTCTGAGTAGGTTTTCTCTGTAGAGTTTGTGGTGATGTGACAGTCACCCCTTCAGGAAGGGGAGAGTAAAGGAACCCTCTGCTTGTGTAGAGGAACAGAGGGAGATGTTTCTCCTGGTATTTCTCTCAGAGGAAAGCTGTAGTGGTTTTGGGCTATACCTTTTTAGCTGAATTTTTTAAGTTCTGCCCCTGCTCACTACTGAGTCAAGTCATTTTGCAGGGAGATGCGACAGGTAGCTTTTTGGGTGCTAGTATCTCTGTGAAAAATACTCTACAAATGCCTGCTGTTTTCCTCTTGTCCTGTGCAGTGTGACGTCTTCTGAGAAGGTGGACAAAGCTCAACGTTATGCTGATTTCACGCTTCTCTCCATCCCATATCCAGGTACAGGACTGATGTCCAGAGGGACTCCCAAGGGACAGGTGACAATCCGTTTCTGGGGACTGGGAACTACCGCTGTGTGTGTGCGTGTGGTAAAATGACTGTGGCTTGCTGAATGTTTCCGGTGCTCCCTCTGGGGAGAAGCTCTTTTCAACTGAGAACAGCGCAACGAATCTGGATGCTCTGGCAGCGTGAGTCAGCATTAGGCACTCTTTGAGGTGGCAAAATAATTTCTCAGCAGTTCTAATTAATTCAAGCGTGGAGAAAGTCCCAGAGGTGGAACTGGCATTAAGATGGCCTTTGACATCCCTGCAACTCCAAACTACCGCTTGATACAAAATATGTATCTTGCTCTGTGTTATGTAAAACCCCAGTTCTTAAAGTTTTCTAATCCTGGTGTTCCAGAGCACCACTGTAAGATATTCTCAGTGCTAGGCAGAACTGCTAACCTGAGCCTGCAACGTATGACTGAGATGCAGACCACTCCAGCCCGTCTCCCTGGCTATATTAGTCGCTGTGCCTAGCAACCACTGCTGGGTCACTTGCTGCACTCTTAAAGATGAGCTGAATATTGCTGCCTGCCTGCTGATGTCAGGCTCAGTGATAGGATTGGATGTGAGACTGCTGTGCTTGAGGTCTGTCCACAAGAAAGGACTCTTCTTTATCCCTTGTGCACAAAGAAAGGGAGAGGAGAAAACAAAACCCAAAACTGTTGTGGATGTTCCAAACCTTTCCTTGATTCCTAGTCGTTGCCCTTAAACATTTTTTTGTTGTTTTAAAAAAGTATATTTCCTTTCATACAGAAATTAGTGACAGTTCAGAGAAGCTGCATGAAGATTTCTATTGAGTTTGCCATGCAGATTGCCAAGGTGTACAGAAATAAAAGTATTATGGCACAGGTGTATGTTGCTGCCATATGCCTCACCAAACTTAGAACATGAGAGACAGTGTACACAGGTTTTTTGTAGGGTTTGTAAAGAACGAAGAAGAGTTGCGCTGTAGAGTTTTTACTGTATGGGAATCTGCATATTGTATGCAATATTCAGTGATGGTCCTTCCTCTTCTGCCATCTGGGACAGCTGCTTTCTTAGCAGTTCTTCACTGCCACACTAGAGGTAAACCTTATAAAACTGGAAATTCTCCCTGCAGATACTGACCAATTTCAGCAGTGCTGGTCCATAGAGGAATGTTGTCATTCTGTTAAATCTAAGGCATACACATCTACAGATCAGCAGCCCCTCTAGTGACTGGCCAAATGCTGTGATACATTCTTGTCAATGTTTCTAGGTTTGCATTGAAAGAATTTCTGTTTTGTAATTTGTCTCTAAAGTCATTCTGAGATTCTGTTGTCTTAGATAAGCCAAGTAGTGTCCAGATATGACTGACTAGCGTGAAAGACTTGGGTTAAAGTGGGGTGTCTGTAGAAGCTTTTGTGCTCTCCAGTGCAGAAAAAACTTCTTTTCCATTTGACTGGTAGCTGGCATTTGTAGATGCCAATAGTTACTGCCATAATCCCCCATTCTTTGCTTTAAGCCGTTGTTTAATTGGAGTTAAATCCCAACTGACCGATTGCTTCCTGACTCTGTGTTTTTGAGGGCTAGTCCTGTCCTTGCACAAAGATTTTTTTTTTTTTTTTTTTTGGCCATTGGAGTTACTTGAGACTTGCAGGGTAGGAATCATTGCCTGTGTTCCATGCCTGGCACAGGGGTGTCTGGGTAATGTGGGCACTGTGGCACTGCTGGGGCATGCAACAGTACATTGGGAGAGGTGTTTCGTGTAGCCTGCAGGCAGCTGCAGCGCTAATGGTGCTGCTCAGCTGTGACTAAGTGACTGCAGTTTGCAGCAGAGACTTCCAATAGTTGTTTGAGAAGAGTGGAGCCAAAGCATACATTTTAGAAAGGGAGGGCCTAGGGGAAAGCTTGGAAATGGTTATCTACCTGCTTCCTTCAGATAGGGCAATTCACGTGTTTGAAAGAGGAGACTTAAATGTGAGAGAAATCACAGCTGCCTCTGACAGAGCCCTTTCTTGTTACCTGCAGCAAATGCCCTGTGAAAGTTGGCTTTCCCCAGAGCTCTGCCAACACCTCCTTTTGCTGGTTTCTTCTCACTCAGCATGCCAGGTTGATGCCTTAGATCTATGCAAAAGCCAATGACCCTGGAAAGCATAGTTCCTTGGTGAAACCTCTTGTCTGGGAAAGAGCAAAATCTGTCCCTCACACTCCACATTTGCTGTGTGTTTGGAGTTGGCCCTTCGCTCTGGGAGTGTGGTGACTGCTGAGCATTGTTGCTGCTGGAAGGCCGTGCTGCACATTGATTACTGCTCTTCTCTTCCTGCAGGCAGCAGTTTTCATTGGTTTGGTGCTCTGGAGCTTGGGGCTGCCAGCACTTCCAGTCCCACAAGGCACTTCAGTTGTTAGATATCAGTTAGCTGAATGGTTGTTCATTATCTCTTTCCTTGCAGGCTGTGAATTTTTTAAAGAGTACAAAGACCGGGATTATACAGCTGAAGGTCTGATATTTAACTGGAAACAGGTACATGGATGTTACAAAATGGAGAGCTGTGGGCTTGAGTCTTACCTCAGTTTACCTCAGCGTTCCTGAGCGATGGTGTATGTTGTGTGTTTATCTCTGATCACAAAGAGGAAACCAACAGGACAAACAAAACAGATAGTGAATGTACTAAATTATTCATTGTTAAATTCGTATGTAAAATAAATGAATCATTATCCTGAAGTCCAGGGTGCTTGACCTCTCAGGGGGAAGTATGGGTTGCTCCTGGTTTTGGATTTGATATCTTACTGATAGCCTCTGTTCTCAGTTCTGTCTTCACATTCTGTCTCCTGCTGAGGGGGGTGGTTGAGTGGAGCAGCCCTACAGGAATTCAGAAACTAACATGCCTTGTCCCTGGCTTTCACTGACGGGAGCACAGAAAAGCTCCTCTTGTCCATTAGTTCTTCTAAGAGGCTGTGAGTGAGTTCTTACCACTGCAGGTTTGTGCATTCAAAGATGCTTTGCTGAGATGCTGTCTCTTAGATGCACCATTTGGCATTTGGTTTTTTTGTTTGGTTTTTTTTTTTCTGGAACTTGCTGCCTTCAAGTCATGGTTTTTCTCTGACCAGTTGTGTTTGGGTTTTTTTGCAGGATTACGTAGATGCTCCATTAAGTATCCCAGTCTTTCTGACCCAATCTCTGAATATTGATTGGAGCGAGTACCAGGTGAGCAAAACAGGCATATCTGTGGGAGGTCAAAGATTCAGTCAGGAAGGGTCAGTGAAGATTTGAAGTCTGACTTGCTCCTGTTTGCCATAATCTGGCTCACTTCATACTATCCCAGTGGGAGTGGGACTGCAGACTTGACGGATCAGTATAGCAGTGGAAATCCTCTACCCAAAAGGCAGCTGACTGTAACATCAAATCTTTTTCTGTAGCTTGCGTAAAGCTTGCAATCCGTTAGGGAGGTATGTCGCTGACAAAGGTAAGGAACATGCCAGCAAACACAAAGCAGTATTATTTGCTCACAGTCTTAGCTAGATGCCTGCCTGCAGTTGGCAGACTTCCATGGCTGTGGAGAGTCTTGAGAAAGGTCAGCCTTCCCTGATGTGAGCAGTAGCCAAGTGACTAGACACCTTCTTCATGGGTGTGCAAGGTGCCTGTCCTATGAGAGAAGAGTAGAAAATCCTAACTGAGCATAGCAGGTCTCCATTCCTTATTACTGTGGCAGCATCGCAAATGGTAATTGAAATCTTACGTTTGCCCAGGCTTTGAGGTTTACCTTTGTTCATACCAGAGAGCATCACCTTATGCTGCTGATTTACTATGCTCCATTTCACACATCAGTGGACCTACCAATCCCCCCAGGTTTTGTGATGATTTAACTGTACTGGAGCGTGCCGTGCTCCTATGCGTTGCGGCTGGAAGCACCACAGAACTAGCAGAGCTCCCCGTGCTGGGCCAGCATTTGTCAGTCAGTGATGTAAATAATGTTTAAGTGCTAGCATAAGCAGAATCACGGAGAAGTAGCTTGCTATGTTGAAGCAGAACTAATGGGACCACAGCTTGTTTATGACTAGAAACTTGTTCACTAGAATACTGAGCAGCCAGTATTTTAAAAGGGATATTAAAAATTGAAGAGGATGTAATAAATAGATGCGGAAATGATCTGAGGACTGGAGAAGGTGCTTCACTTAAAGCTGGAGTTCTCAGTCTGTTTAGGTAATCACAAAGGTGATGGAGGGTTGACTTGATTAATGTGTTAAGTACATTTGCAGGGAGAAAATACTAATTCTAAAGCACTCTTCAATCTGGGGAAGAAGAGCTGCACAGGAAGCAATATCTGCAGTCTGACATCAGACCTTCAAATAAGGAAAAGCAGTCTTGCATGTTATTTTTGAGGATGATCTGTTGGAACATGCTGCCAAAGGAGTGATGAACTGTCACCTCTAGTTGTGGTGCTTCTCTGGGCAGATGTGTTGCCAAGTGCAAGCTTCAGGGTGTATGTGGAGCAGCTGAACAAAACTTTCTGGTTTGTGATACAGAAAGATCAGACTGGATGATCAGATGATTCCTTCTGACATAAGCACAAGATCGGGTTGAATTAGGCAGATAAAAGACTTTGGAAGGATATGTTTTTCTGCCCTGGGCTGAGTGTGTCCCCCATTTCCCTATTCTTTTGTTGCTGTGCAAGCTTCACAGCAGAGCAATGTGTTCTTTGTCTGACAGGAGTCTTAAGTGTGGTTATGCATACACGTGCACACATGCAAGCACACAGCAAGTGTTCTATTGCTGGGAGTCAGATGTCACTTAACTCACTAACACTGTCATGATGAAACATGTGGCCTTCTCCTTGCCTTTTCCTTGCCCCTGCTGTCCCATTTTCCTTGGGCTAGTTCTGGCTCTGATTGCTGGAATTCCCTGCTTCCTCTCAAGATCAAGAGTGGCACACTTGAGTTTGTTGTGATGTTTTTCACCTGCATTTCTAGTAGTGCTGCAAGGTTTCTGAGTTCAGAGCCCCTCTGTGGTACTGCTGCTACTCGGGCGTTACTGCAGAAGTCCAGTGCCTGTCTGGAGCAGCTCGGAGTGGCTCCACAGACAGCCTCCTGGGGCCATTTACAAGGATCAGAGAGTTTGGGGCAAAGCACTTGGGTTCTGGGAATGGGCTGCTGACCTTGGCCTGCTCACCCCATGGTGCTACTCACGTCACGTATGCAGCTGTAACATGGCTGCTGAGCCATTTGGTAATGTGCACGTTGGGGTGGGGCTGCAGAACTGGGTCAGTGCTCAGCAGGTGTTTGCTGGCTCACATTAGTCTCTCCGAACATAGTCTGCTTGGAGCTTTGGGGCTGCAGATAAGCGGGTTCTGTGCCAGCCAGGCAGACAGGAGAGATGGCCTTTTATTTTATTTGTTTTTTTATTTTTCCCTGCCTGGTCTCTTGTCTCTGAGTGCCTTTTGCAGAGGATGGGATGAGTAGGTAGAACACCAAGGGTGTCTGTCAAGAGTCTGTCACTCTGAGGAATGGCCGTGGGGTTATTTCTGCTTCACTGTTGTTCTGGATAGAGAAGCCAAGAGCATGGCAGGCTCTGAACTGCAGAGCAGCCTTTTGCTGTGGGCAGACCCTTACCATCAACACTTCTCTTTCTGCATAGAGCTGGGACCTCGTGCAGCAGACACAGAACTACCTGAAGCTGCTGATCTCCATCATCAATAGCGATGGTAAGGCAAACTCCATGCTCCCAGTGGTCTAACTGGAGCAGTTGCTTTCTCTGGAAGAACAAGCTGATGGTGTTAGAGCCACTGTGGATCAGTTCCCAATACGAAGAGTCACTTTCTAGTGTTTCAATTCTCCACCTTCCAAACAGGGTAATGGTCCTAGCATCTCAGGGTTCCAGCTCCCCTCTTAGAGAGGGACCTTGCTGATCCCTTGAAGACCCTCTTCTCTCAGGGGTGGAGGGTTATCTGAAAACTTTAGCTAAAGTTTTACTACTTTAAAGCTGAAGAGAACAAATGTTTGTTCCGTTCCTTTTGCTCCTAAAGAACTCTTGCTCTTTATTTGCTGAACATCTGTGTTTTGTCCCCTCAGCCTGGGGTCTCATTAGGTGCTTATTTAAGAGCCCCTTCCATCCTCTGTCATCACAGCCACCCCAGCTCCTCAAAGGGCGTGTATTGCTCTGTGTTGGCATCCATTTCCCTCTAGGCACTGTGACTTTGTATGTAGCACTATTGGATAGATGGAGCCATGTGTGGCTCTGCCAGCACAGCCAACAACAGACTCTCCTGCAGCTGTTGAGCTTGGGAAAACTGCAAGTTTTCTGGAGAGCATAAGAGTGATGTCCTGCGTGTGCTTATGCTCAACGTGTATCAGCAGAAAGAGTGGTGAGACTGAAAAAACGTTCTGTTGGAGCAGGTTTCTCTCTGATGTGGGGATAGATTGTGATAGTGGGTCGCAACTGGGTAGGTATGTGTTCTGGGTAGCAAAGTGATGTTCATACCTAGTGACTTCACGTCCTGAGCAGCTGTCAGGACCAGGACAGCACATCAGCTGGGGCTGCTGACAATCCAGGACACTCTGAGCAATTTCTTGGATGCTGTATTCAAGACAAAATGTTCTGGCTTGGTGGCTGATCTCTGCTCTTGAGCCCAGACTGTTGGGATGGAGGGTAGCTTGTTGCTACAGATTTGCCATAAAGAAAAGCCATTGCTGTTGTTACAACATCCTTTTTTTCCTTTCTCCTTTCTATTCCCACCGGGAACAGATGACAGTGGGCTCCTGGTGCACTGTATATCCGGTTGGGATCGAACTCCTCTCTTCATCTCCTTATTGCGCCTCTCCTTATGGGCTGTGAGTACCTGGCTGACCTGCTCTGCTTCTGGGGGTGGTTGCTTGGAGGGTGAAGCAACTGTGTCACCAGGAAGTGGTGGTGGAGCAGTTAATGTTCCTTTTGATCATTTTTGGCTTCAGAGGGGATGTGGATTGGCTTTGATGTGGAGCCCAACATGCTGTCCTGCCATCAGGCATGGTATCACAGGCAGGTAGAGCAAGCTGGGCATCTTGGATCACCATGACAGTTTTCAGTTGATTGTGAATTCCCAAGTCCCGATCCCCAGGGCTGCTGCCTGAAAGCTGTTCTCATTTGCTTTGCAGGATGGGCTGATCCATGCATCCCTGGAGCCATCTGAGATTCTCTACCTGACAGTGGCCTATGACTGGTTTCTCTTTGGGTAGGCACACTTAAGTTTTACTTGCATATGCATCCCTGCGCAGCAAGGAAGGAGCCTTCAAGGGGGTCATCTTTGGTGTTTGGTCACAACCAAAGGTGGATATTGGGTCAGGGGCAGCTCCCAAAGAGCTGTGATGGGAGGGGCTGATGCCTTTTTTTACCTGGAGGCTCAGGCATCTGGGTGTTCCTGACAGCTTGTGTTCCGCTGATGCTGGCTTCCAGCGTTTGACTGAGCTTCTCTTGCTTTCTTTCCAGGCACATGTTAGTCGATCGACTCAGTAAAGGAGAAGAGGTGAGCGTCTGGCCTGGGGCAGTGGCTAAGCACTGCTTTACGGTTCTCAGTGTACTTGTTTACAGTAGCAACATTCACTGCCTGCTTCTGGTAGTATCAGGGGTCTGGATGGGCTCTAAAAAGATTGTTCGGGTGCTGAAAACATGAGGTAGGAGCCTTGCCCTGTGACTTCCCGATGCATAAGGTGTGAGAATGCTTTTCTCTCAGGTTTGGTTGGTGGGTGTTAGTCCTGCCAGTGCTCCTGCTGTGCCGTGCTGTTAGTGTTTGGGCCCCTGGTGAAGAGGTTCTGGGACTTGCTGTTCTGCTCAGCAATGAGAAGGGATGCTTGTGACTCCCGGGAGCTTGGAAATAAAGCTGTATAGTCTTGTGTGCTTGTCCTGAGTGCCAGCTCTCCTGCCTGGGTGCTGCAGCTGCATGTGGTTTGCATGTCATCGTGGGCTCATGGAGCAGCTTGTGCTGGTGTGTATATCTGGCGGGTGCATCTGTAAGTGGACAGATAGATCTGGGGAGCAGTTAAGATTAGTGGAACTAATTGTCTTCAAATTTTTCACTGTTTGATGGCAGAAAATGAGTGCTCTGACTTTAGTTGCAGTACACTGCAATATCCTTTTTGGGTAGAGATCAAGAGGTGGGGAGAATGTCTAACCCTGTTGCTAATCCCCTGTTCCTTAGACTCTCACCTCGCTAGGGAATCCCCTCCCTCTGAACAGCAGAGCCGGGACCCTGGCCTATTTTCCATCTTTCAGGGGTCCAGGACCCCTTGTATTAGTGTTGTTCCTCCCATTCATTCCTTTCTCAGAGCTCTGCTGGCTTGAGCCTGGCAGCTCTGCTCTGTGCCTGCTTGGCCAAGGGCAGAGGTGGTAGCTGCAACAGGAGGGAGGCTGCATGGCTGCCTCTAGCACTCCCAGCTCCGCACTGCTCAGCTCTGTGCAGGTAGGTGGGGTGGCAGAGGCACAGCGGGGTGAATGCTGCGGGGCACCAGCTTGGGACTACAGGCGCTGCAGGTACTGCATGCTTCCAGGTGTGATACAGCTGTGGTGCCAAGGTGGAGCATGCAGCTCTAACCCTGCTAGCCCTGCTGGGTTTGCTGCTTACCTGGGTGTATAAGCAGCTGCTGGGGGCCACCTCTTTTCCGTTCTGCACTGATGTCATAAGTACATGCTGTGTGCTTGTGGCATGTGTGCAAGACATTGATGAGACCTGTGTACACCTTTCTTTCTGGGCCTCCCCATGGCAGGGAACAGAGGGTCAGTTTAATGTGAAAAAGAAGGCCCAGGATGGGGTGGTGGCAACCCATAGCACATGGGCTGCAGATTTTTTCGCTATCTCCTTCCTGCCAGCACCTCCCTACCAAGATAAGC